TCTGCAGCAGCTCTTCATGCCTGCGGGGAGAGCAGAGGGGTGCAGGGTCCCAGTCTGGCCCTAGAGCCAGGGAGGGGGTCCCCATGGGCAGACAGCACCAAGCCCTTCCCCTGTGCTCACCTCCCTCGCTCTGTGATGTGCCCGTCCTTGAGCACCAGGATCTGGTCTGCACCCACCACAGTGGAGAGCCTGCAGAGAAAGGCAGGGCAGTGGTGTGGCTGAGAGGGGAGGGGGCCCAGGAGGGGTTTACACGGTGCAAGGAGCCACAGTCACAGGGGCTGTCACCTCCTGAGCAGGAGGACAGGTCTGTGCCCCTCTGGGGGAACTGGCCAGCTCAGAGAGCTCAGCACCTCCCACATCAGCCCTTCCCCCTCATCCTTACCTATGTGCAACAACAATGGTGGTGCGGTGGGCGCAGACCTTGGCCAGGGAGGCCTGGATGTTCCTCTCAGTCTCTGTGTCGAGCGCAGACGTGGCCTGCAGGAGAGGCAGGGTGTTGGAAGCGCGCAGGCAGCACGGGCAGCTACAGCGGGGCAGGGACACTGCACTTACCTCATCCAGCAGGATGATGCTGGGACCCTTCAGGATGGTGCGTGCAATGGCCACTCGCTGCTTCTCCCCCCCGCTCAGCTTCAGTCCCCGCTCCCCCACCTGGGTGCTGTATCCTGCAGGCACAAGGGCAGGAATGTGCTGTGCTGGTGCCCTTCAGGACAGGTCTGGGCACCAGGGCTCTGCTGCATGGGGAGGTCCTGCTGCAGCCTCAGCCCATCCCTGCCCAGGGGTGACAGCCCGGTAGAGATGACAGCAGGGAGAGCAAAGCAAGGGACAGGGTCATGCAGGTGTCCCCATGGGGCATGTCACCCAAGGACACCTGTGAGGGCAGCAACCAGGTCATGACGCTGGGACAGCAGGGGAGGACAAGGCGGGTACTGTGGGGGTCTCACCATCAGGGAAGGAAAGGATGCGGTCGTGGATATCAGCAGCCCGGGCTGCCTCCTGCACCTCCTGGTCTGTGGCCAGGATCCATCCATAGCGGATGTTGTTGGCGATAGTGTCGTTGAAGAGCACCGTGTCCTGGGGCACCACCCCGATGTGAGCACGGAGTGATGCCTGCTTCACCTGGGCAGGAGACAGGGAGAGCTCAGCCAGATGCACACACACCACAAAGAGCCCCCCAAAACCCACTCCCATTCCTCAGCCATGAGTCCTACACCCTGCTCCTTGCAGGGTGTGTGCTCCAGGGTCCCTCTGGACCACAGGCTCAGCTGCATCTCCACCCTGATGCAGGGGGGGGCCTGCCAGTGCCCCAGCCCTTCCCAGGGAGCCCTGGCCAGTCTCCAGCACTTCAGCCCTGGGGTTCTGCAGTCACATCATTCACCCCATGCCTTGCACAGACATCAGCCTGCAAAGGGGCTGTGGGGGCTGCGTGCTCAGCCCTGCCCTGGGGAGATGCCAGTGCCTGCACTGAGCAGTGTTGTGAGGCCCTGGGGAGCTAGTGTATGTCCCCCCAGTCCCTGGAAGTGTTCCGCCATCACCTGGGAGATGTCCTGCCCGTCGATACGGATGCAGCCACCCCGCACATCGTAGAAGCGGAAGAGCAGGCGGATGATGGTGCTCTTCCCTGAGCCCGAAGGTCCCACCTGCACAGGAAGGCAAAGGGCTTGGAAACTCCAGAGACTCACTGCTGCTGGTGGCCAAACCCAGCCCCACTGGGGGTCTGTCCTTCCCCCTCCTGTGCTTCCCAGCCCCACTTCCCCATCCCACCCTCCAGCAGTGAGGACACCCAATGCCCCGCTCTCACCAGGGCCAGGGTCTGCCCAGGCATCACCGAGAAGGAGACGTCCTGCAGGATTTCCTTCCTAGGAGAGGGAGATGGAGAGGGGCTCAGGGCCACCTCCTCTGCCCCACGTCCCTGTGCCAGGCCCCACAGATCAGCTCGTGCCACCCCCACTTCCCCATCCCACCCTCCAGCAGTGAGGACACCCAATGCCCCGCTCTCACCAGGGCCAGGGTCTGCCCAGGCATCACCGAGAAGGAGACGTCCTGCAGGATTTCCTTCCTAGGAGAGGGAGATGGAGAGGGGCTCAGGGCCACCTCCTCTGCCCCACGTCCCTGTGCCAGGCCCCACAGATCAGCTCGTGCCACCCTGTGCCTACTGCCCCATACCCATCCACGTAGCTGAAGTGCACGTTCTCAAACTCGATCCGTCCGGCCTCCAGGCGCAGGTCACCGGCATTCACCACATCCTTCACCTACCGGAGGAGAGACATGGCCTCAGAGCCAGCCTGTCTCCAGGGAAGGACCATGGGGCCATGCCAGGAAGTGGGGTCCGGGAAGGTGGCACCCACCTCCTGCTCCTCGTCAAAGAGCTCAAACATGTTCTCCATGTCCACGAAGGAGTTCTGGATCATCCTGGAAGGGAGTGAAGACCAGAGGGAAGGGTTTGGGAGCACACCCCAACCCAGGTGCACATGGTGAGGGGGTACCCCAGGCACCCCCACAGCTCTGAGCATTACCTGTAGTAAGTCCCGAACCAGTTGAGTGGTGTGTAGAGCTGAATGATGTAAGTGCCGAAGAGGACAAAGTCCCCCACCTGGAAGGGACAGGGGAGAGGTCCTTGTCACCACCAGCCCCCGGGCCTCACCTCAGGCAGGGGGCTGCCTGGGTTGGCACCAGCCTTACCTGCAGCTTGTTTTCGGTGACAAAGTAGGCACAGAGCAGGGACCCTGCCAGCAGCCCCAGGCTGATGACCAGGTTCTGAGTCTGGTTGAGGAGGCCCAGTGAGGCATTGACCTTCCACTCTGAGAGCTGGAAGAAAAAAGGTACTCTAGGATGCTGCTGCTCACCAGACCCACAGTGAGCTCCATCCTCCCCGCAGGTACCCACAAGGTTCGACTCCTTCCCTGCTGACTTCCCCACTGTTGCTGACACCACGTACCTGGTACGTGACAATGGCGTCATTAAAGC